CTTCTCCTCTTGCCTTCACACTTTCCTAACATCAAGGTCTTTTCCAGGGAGTCTTCTCTTCTCATGAGATGGCCAAAGTATTGGAGCCTCAGCTTCAGGATCTGTCCTTCCAGTGAGCACTCAGGGTTGATTTCCTTTAGAATTTATAGGTCTGATCTCCTTGCAGTCCAGGGGACTCTCAAGGGACTCTCCCCTGGACTGCAAGGAGAACAAACCTATCAATTCTAAAGGAAATCAACCCTGACTGAATGACTAAACAACAACAACATAGTACTAAGTCACTGGGCTGTAGCGTTACAAGTAGTCCTATAATGCTGCTATACATTTTTGTAAGTACTTTTTTTATACTATTGTGTAAAGATATAGCTAGTTATCCGAAACATGACCTACCTTCTCCAAATCAGGCTCTCTCAAAGCTAGTGCAAGTTCATTATTATCCATTACAGATGCTGCTGCAACATCTAAAGGTGTTGATCCACGCATAGAAGGGGATGCTGTTGAAACAATATTTCAGAAATACGTAACATATTCCAAATATACAGAACTAGTAAGATTTTTTTAAATAACTATAGATAACAAACATATTTATCCAAAATATTTTCATGCCTGAATTCTCCCTTTTCCAATACATAGCCATGTCTTTTGTTCACTCAGAGCCATAATGGTACTACCATAATAATATAATTTAGTTATACTATTGTGCTAAAGCTTTATTTCATATACCGTATTTTTCGCTCCATAAGATGCACCTCTCCATAAGACACACCTCATTTTTAGGGGAGGAAAACAGGAAAAAATATTCTGGCAATTTCAGCCCGCTGGTCCCATGGGGGTGGAGGTGGAGGGAGCCTCAGAAGGGTCCGAGAGTGCCTTCCAGGACCCTTCAGAGTCTCCCTCCACCTCCCTGGGGCCAGCAGGGGTGAAATTGCCAGCTTCCAGGACCCTTCTGAGGCTTTCCAAGCCTCAGAAGGGTCCTGGAAGGTCACGGTTTCACCCTCACTGGCCCCATGGGGGTGGGGGGAGCCTCCAAAGGATCCTGGAAGGCACTCACGAATCCTTTGGAGGCTCCCCCTGACCCCCATGCCTCAGAAGGGTCCTTCCAAGCCTCAGAAGGGTCCTGGAAGGCACTCTCAGACCCTTCTGAGTTCTCCCCCACTATCCCCCCACTGGGCTCTGGGGAGCGCTGTTTTACAGTATTCGCTCCATAAGACACAGACACTTCCTCCTCTTTTTGGGGGGGGGAGTGCATCTTATAGAGCAAAAAATACGGTACCCTATCTGCACAATTTGGGTAGCCACACTTCAGAGACATAAAGGGAAAGTACAGATATACAGCAGGCACTACTATAGTGTATTCTCAACAATCATATAAAATGCAACCTTCAGAATTTGCATTCCAAAGAAGTATCACATGATGCATGGTATAGCACTTGTGTATTTTGAACTGCAGTGGCAAAATTAATTTCATAATGACTCACCAAGCCCAACACTGCTGTTTTCCAAAAGATAACTAAGATGATCAAACATAGCCTTTTGATTCTGTCTGCTGATGCGGCAAAAATAACACAGAAAACGACAGCAATTTGCCACCATTTTAGGAAAGGTGATTTCCTAGACAAAGAATACTACATGAGAAAAGTACAGAAACCAATATATTTTAATATTTTTGTTTACACTTTTACTGGTAACAAAAATGTCATCTATAAAAAATGGATTTCATGTCATAATTGGAATTTCTCAAGTGCTGTATGAAGCAGCTGGACACATGACAGGAACATCCTTCAGGATCCACATGACACCAATTTAGAAGGATTTACATGGGCTGCCAACATCTGTTCTGATCAGGTTCAAGGTGTTAACAATGAGTTACAAAGTCTAATTCACTTGGGTCTGGACATTTGAAGGCATTCTCCTCCCTATACAAACCTAGCTGATCACTAAGATCTGCTGAAGAGGTTCTCCCCTGTGTCCCATTACTGAGAAGAGTATTTGGAAACAGACATGGGAGAGGACATTTTCTGCAGTTCCACCTCTACTGTGGAATATCCCTCCTTTGGAGGCACAATTGGTGCTGACACTGCCATCATTCTGGCACCAAGTCAAGATATACTTATTTTTTGGATCCTTTGGGAGTTGAGGATCATGACCTGTGCAGGTTTTAGTACAATGTTTTTAACGTTTTGATTTTGTTGTCTGATTTTAAATTATTTTAAATATCTTATTTTATACAGCTTTGTGACCCATCCTGAGATCCTGTGATATAGTGTGGGTTATAAATATTTAAATATGTAGTAGGCATCCTTCAGTCTCAAAAGACTATGGTAGCGTGCTCTGTATGGAGGACTTGGAACAGCGTCTAGTGTGGCTCAGGAGGCCAATTCGAGAGTGACAGTCCCTTCCACACTGAAGACAAATACAATCGGTCCCCTGTCCAGCTCCCTGGTTTTGCTTCCTTTGTGACTTCCTCTTTGCCTCGGCCTGCTGGACAAGGGTCTCTTCAAATTGGGAGAGGCCGTGATGTACCGCCTGCCTCCAGGCTGAACGCTCAGATGTCAGGGTTTCCCATCTGTTGAGGTCTATTCCTAAGGCCTTCAGATCTCGCTTGCAGATATCCTTGTATCATAGCCATGGTCTCCCTCTGGGGCGATTTCCCTGCACTAATTCTCCATAGAGGAGATCCTTTGGAATCCGGCCATCAGCCATTCTCACAACGTGCCCAAGCCAGCGTAGACGTCGCTGTTTCAGTAATATATGCATGCTGAAAATTCCAGCTCGTTCTAGGACTACTCTATTTGGAACGCTGTCCTGCCAGGTGATACCAAAAATGCATCGGAGGCAACGCATATGGAAGGTGTTCAGCTTCCTCTCCTGCCGGGCACAAAGTGTCCAGGACTCACTACAGTACAGGAGTGTGCTCAAGACACAGGCTCTATAGACCTGGATCTTGGTATGTGTTGTCAGTTTCTTATTGAGCCATACTCTCTTTGTGAGTCGAGAGAACATGGTAGCTGCTTTCCCAATGCGTACTAAGCACACTGCTAAGCTGCATTGTGAATTTCTGTTGCATAGTTCTCTACTAGATGTGCAACTATAGTATTCTGAACAGCAGCCCATATACAAAAACATGCAATACAGTAACAAATCTAAATCCACAATAGAGTTCTATATCTCCACCCAGCAGCTCCTAAATATTTGGCTCAAAAGGTCACCTTGTACCCTCCAGGAGTAGTAAGAGGCAATTCTGAAATGTACTTTGGCCGCCACAAGACACTAGGGGACTTTTCCAGTAATTCCCCCATTTCTGTTTAAAAAAAAACCAAATTCAGGTAGTGCTAGAGAAGATGTGGTCTTCCAAGATCCAGGGATGGGTGAGTGTAACTTCCAGTTCTGTAGAAGCTGCCCACTCTCAATACAAAGCATCTCCATCTGAATACACATCCTGTTTAGACCTGATATTCTAGATCTAACAAGTGACAGATCTTCATGTGCATCCCTTTAGACAGATTGGAGCATACAGCTGCATAAACTGAATTTCCACAGGGGGTCTGCACCAGTTTTCCCCAGGCTCTAAGAAGCCTGCTCCAGAAAGTAGCTGCTGTCAATCTCCTCAAACTGAGGAGCACCTAAATCAAGCTGCTGCCTATGTCTAGGAATGTAGCCAATCTTTAAAATGTCTTCTGTTAGCATGTTACCTTTGATTCTCCTCCTCCAAGAACATTCACCATCACTTCCATTACAGTTTCATGCATCCCCAATGCCCTCATAAGATTAGGATGTTGGTAAAACACTTTATTGTTCATAATATCCCTATGTTAAAAAATAGAAAATGGTCAAAATATTTGAAAACATTTCAACTGTTTCATAATCAGCTCCTACAAATACTTCTCACCAATTCCACACTGTATTTCATAGTGTTTAAATAGCACACAAATAAATTAAGTGGGGCTCAATCTTTAGATTACTTGCCCAGATAGTAATTCCACCTACAGCAGGGATATAAATTGCACAAAATCCCTAGGAACATATTTACCAGGAACATAAATTGTTTCTCAAGCATGATATGAATCAAGTTTTGAAGTCTTTATTAAATATGATTTTACATTGATCCAATAAATTGCTTTATGTGCTTTTATGGCTGGCTCGATGCGTCTATCTATGTGTATGATTAAGCACAATGTCGTCCAAGAAAGTTTATGTTGCTTTTTCAGGTGGCACTAGAATTTTCCTTTCCTTTCCTTTCCTTTTACATTTCTTTATACCAGAAACAGTAGGTATCCATATGTTGGGGAAAAGAGCTGCCAGCCACCTAGCTTTAAAAAACTTATTCATTGAAATATATGTATGACAACCCGATCATAAGTAATCAAGGTATACAATTTAAAAGGTCATTGCACATAAATTATTCTAAAGAATTAATTATGGCTTTGGGTCGATTGGTTTTCTTTTTTACTTTCTTGGTTTTCTATTTAGTTTTTTTAACCATAGCTCTAAACCATGATTTTTGCGATTTTGCCTCTTTTCAAGCTACTGCATACAGGACTGTGGCCAATATCAATAAGTAAACTATCATTTGGAGAGTTTTTAAATAACAGATGTTACAGAGTAACATCTGCCAAAAAATCATTATCTGATTGGCCATTAGTCAGTTTTTTTCTGCAGCATACTTTATGTGTCTGGCTTAATATCCCAGAAGAAATAAGCCCACAGTTCTTATGCTGATAGTATCACGCACATCATTAGTAGTGGTGCTGAGTTCCAAATATATTTGGAAATAATATTTAATTAGAAGAATGTTGACCATATTAATGCCCTGATCCACAAATTCAGCAAAAAAACTCAACTAACCAACCAACCAACCAACAACACCAAAACCTGTCTCTGCATTACTAACTAGAGGATAATTGCAATAAATTGTGTAGGGCTGCTCACATGTCTGAACAGCCTTGCTCAATTTGTGATAATAGACTTCGGGCAGAAAGCACAGCCTACCATGAGCAGCTGGCTAGCCCTCAATGTGCTTCCACAAGCACCCCTTCCAATAGCCCCAGAACAGATAAGTATAAATATTTGCCACATAGTCCCCATTACTTTGTGTTTTATTTTATTTTTATTTATTTATTTATTTTGGTTCTCCCTGATCTACTAGTACAGACTAACATGGCTACCTTTTCTAAAACAGCAGATAAATAATTACACTGTGCACTCCCTATCGGTAGAGGCAAGTAAGTTGCTACAACATTTGAAGCTGCCAGGTATGCTGGTCAGCAAGGTGAAGTACTTGCATATCTGGAGAGCACAAAAGAACAGACCTTCAAAGGAAAGGGTGTTAGTCCTTCTTTCTTCTTGTTTTCTGGTAGCTAGCCAAGACTACAAGCACCTTTTTAGCTGGCTAGCATAAACAGATTTCTTAGGCCCTTCCAATGGTGGATAAAAAACAAAACTGAACATCCCCTCTTCTTGAAGCTTAAGTGAGCTCTGCTCATGGGGACCATGACTCTTGACAGGATTATCTTTTCCTATGTATGATACAGAGGGGCAACACTGAATTTTTAAAAAGAAAGCACCGGGATTGGAATTTGCTTACAAAACCTATCTTCCAGTTTGAAAACCTTTCACTGTACAGAAATTAAATTGTAATTAATAAAAAGGAAAACAGAATGTTCAATTCCTCAGAGCTGATCAGAGTGCTGCATCATCTCAGAATGAACCCAGAAGTAGAGGAAATCATCTCTAATCTTTTTTACTTCCATATCAAAGCAATTCACCATTAGCAATCAAAACATACAAACCCAATGCCCACAATATATACTGCCGAAGACTATCAAAATTTCCCCCCTAATACTGTATTTTGATCTAGAATCAACACTCAGGTTCCTGCAAAGTAAAGTGTTAGTAAAGAAAGAGAGGCTTTACCCTAATCCACGAATCATAAGTTTCTCTTCTTCCTTCCCCATTCTGACACTGAGAAGAGAACGGATCTGGCCAAGCGATGCAAGTAAGTTGATTGTATCTTCCACAGATATACCATTTATAGTATATGTCTTTGGCAAGGCACGAACCAAGCCACCAACTCCATCATACTGGCGATGCAGCAAAACAAACATGGCCCTCACCAACTCTGGATCTTCTATGACTGACTCCTGAGCCCATCGTACCATAGTCTCTGATATCAGCTGCTGGAGAGTTGCTACATGTAGAAATTATTAAGACAAGCATATGGAAAAACCATCTTTCATCTTTAGTAAAACTTTAACATACTGTGCCATTTTAAATTAAGACAAAATATTTGACTGAATTTGCTTACTGAAGCAAGTTACTAAATAGTACATTGTCAGGTTAGGGGAGGAAATAGTATAATAGAAAAAGAACTCCAGGGAATTATTGCCAGATTTCATGAGGGAATAATCTTGAATAGACTGCAAAACTGCAAAAGTATTTAATTCAAGTGAGATTGAATGAAAATGTAGGAAAGGTTGTACTTGATCAGACCAAAAGCCTATTTAACCCAAAAGCCTATTTGCTCCAAGAGTGGACAACCAGATGTTGAAGGAAAGCCTATAAGCAAGACATGAGTGCAACTTTGTTCTGCTTGTACTTAAAGTGTTTTTAAAAGCTATGTAGATGAGCCAAAAGATGATTGCTTAAACTAAAATTTAAAACCATACACAATTAACTCAAAGCAGAACAACGTAATTAGCAGAGCAATCATACATTTTATCTGTTTATCTGAACATCATTTTTCTCTCTAGAGTTATAGGATAAAATGTTCTGCGGGCCCCTCCATCAGTATTGTCCATGATCCACCCACAATCCACTCCATTTTGGCTGTTCTGCTGGCATATCTTCATGTTAAGAATAGGCATTTCAGTGGAGAGTCCCAGAGAGGCACTTGCCAGCATACTTTGTTCCAACAGCAGCCAACATGGTGCCATTGTGAGAGTCCTGGACTGAGACCTAGAAGATCCCTGATGCCACAAAATCATTGCAGTTCTTATGGTACCAAGTATACTTTATTATACCTACTTGGTTTAAGAGCGTTATCATCAGCTGTTTTCTCTGCTTGTCTCTTTTTCAAGTGTGTGACTCTTTCCACAAGATAAAGTAGACGACCTGTGATTGATAAATCACTGGTTCCATCCAGAATTCCATCTTCATCCAGCTGAATGCCTAGAAATAAAAATCCAAATATTTATTGGAGCATTTTTCAAAGGAAAATATCAAAAGGCCTTTGACAATATGTGATGTTGGGCCCTTTCCTCTACCAGGTAGGTATGCCTGTTAGAAAGTAGAAGGTGGACATAAAAAAAAAAACTATAGGTTTTTACAATAGGAACATTCAACATATTGCATCTTCCAACACACTGCATTTAGGGAAAAAGAAAATAGTGGCTGCAACTGAAGTTGCCAAGGGGCCAAGGGGTGCTAGAGGAATTAAATTAGGGTGCCCTCACAAGTATTGTGAGCAGCATTGTACACCTTGCTTCACAATGTTCAGTCCTCTTTCCTTTTCTATTAAAAATCTATAAATCAAACTGCAGTGGTTTTTCAGAGAGTAGCTCAAATGTGCAAAGCTCAGCTTGTACTTTATACCGTTACTGCCCTGTCATTATAAGCAGTTACTTTTTTATAGTAACTTCCATAATTTCTTCAGGTTCTTTTGTCTATAGACAAAAAAAATTCACTGATAATCATAGATTCATAAAATAGTGGAGCTGGAAGGGGCCTACGAGGCAATCAAGTCCAAACCCCAGTTGTTGCCCTCCTTTGAACTTGTTCCAATTTGTCAGCATCCTTCTTGAAGTGTGGTGTCCAGAACAGGACACAATACTCAAGATGAGGCCTAACCAGTGCTGAATAGAGGGGGACTAGCATCTCGTGGGATTTGGAAACTATGCTTTTATTAATGCAGCCTATAATAGCATTTGCCCTTTTTGTAGCCACGTCACACTGTTGGCTTGTATTCAGTTTGTGATCTACAGTACAACAACTCCAAGATCCTTCTCACTTGTAGTATTGCTGAGCCAGGTATGCCCCATCTTGTAACTGTGCAATTCGTTTCTTTTTCCAAGGTGCAGGACTTTGCACTTATCCCTGTTGAATTTCATGCTGTTGTTTTCAGCTCCAGCCTATCTAGATCATTTTGAATTTTGTTTTGTCTTTCAGCTTATCAGCTATTCCACCCAATTTTGTGTCATCTGCAAATCTGACATGCATTCCCTGCATTCCCTCATCCAAGTCATTAATAAAAATGTTGAAGAGCACCGGACCCAGGACTAAGCCTTAGGATACTCCACTTGTTACCTCCTCCCAGTTAGAGAAGGAGCCATTATTCATCACCCTCTGAGTATGATTCTGTAGCCAATTCTGTATCCACCAGACACATCTATCCAGTCCACATCTAGTCTGCTAATCAGTATATCACAGGGCACTTTGTCAAATGCTTTGCTGAAGTCAAGATATACTATACTAAAACATTCCCTCTGTCTATCAGGAAGGTGGTTTTAGAATTTCTTTGTAAAGAAACTCTCACCCTTCTTGGACTCCTTTTCCTGTTAGTATCTCCTGCCATGGGACCCTACTCATACTTGTTCTGAAATTATTAAAATTAGCTTTTTAAAAATCCAGCATATTTGGTGGCTAATTGGACTCCTTGTTTCCTTTGAAATCAAGAATTCTAGCAAGAATTCTAGCCCAGAGTGCCCTTTACTGCCATTTCCTCTATTAAGTCATCTATATTGGTTAAGAGTCAAGTCAAGGATAGCTATTCCTCTAGTTTCTTTCTCCACTTTTTGTAGGAGAAAATTATCAGCCACACAAGCCAGGAATTTATTTGAAGGACCATACTTTGTACTTATGCTCGACTAAATATGTATATAAATATAATATATGAGTTATATTATCTTATTGTAGTATTTGAGGTGAAAAAGCACGCAAAGCAAACATTTACCACAATGTGCCATCAAATCTTCATGAAAATCCAACAGGTGATCCCTGATTTCTTCAGGACACGGGCAATCATTTTTATCATCCTTAAAATTCAGCAGCATATTTATCTTCAAAAGAAAAAAAACTGATAATGTTTTCATTTTAATCAACTTTTATGGGGTGATGTATGGCAATAAAAAACATTATACTTACTGTGACACTGCTAGACAGCTGGCTAAAATCTTCCATCCTTTCTGGGGATGGAGAATACACAATATACTCTAGATTTGTTTTGATTGGCACAGAGCAGAGCTTGGAAAAGTTACTTCTTCTTCTTCTTAGAATTCCCAGAATCCCCAAGTCCCCAGAACCCTCTTCAGACAAAGCACAGAACAAGAGTGTGCAATACATTTTATGATGAACATGCAGTATGACATCCCCACAACTAAGCTTGCTTCCCCCACCACCTCTAAAGTTAAACTAAAACTTGGGAATGCTTGTCACCCTCATCAACAACTCTGTCAAAACTTGAAGTTCACATTGGACAGACACAAGCAGGAACAGTGGGATACATGGAGATAAAGGACAAAACACCTTCTCCCTCTCCCAAAGCCACAGTCAGCAACCTAGTTTATCATGGTAGTGCATTGTTATTGAACTATGAGATGGAGAACAGCTCCGTTGAAAAATGTTCATTGCCTTATCCTAAAACTCTTGGCTCATTTTGTCGTAATACAGCTAAACCCCTCCCCCCACCCTCCCCCGGTAATGCACTCCTTTTTAAAAAATTAATAAATCTTTAAATTAGTTTAAATAAATAAAATTACCCAAAGGAGTCAGGGGAAAAGTTTAAATTATTATTTCTTTTAAAGGTGGGTTTGTTTTGCTTGAGAGAAGCAAAACTGTCCTCTGAAGATGCCGGCCACAGAGACTGGTGAAACGTCAGGAAGAACAACCTTCAGAACACGGCCAAAGAGCCCAAAAAAGCCACAACAAACACTAGATCCCAGCCGTGAAAGCCTTTGCAAATACAAATTACTGTTTACTTATTTCACTTTATATTCTAGCTTCATGTATCCACTATTCTCCTTAAACTCCCAAATTCAAGATTTGAGTATGGCTTCCCATCCTCGTGGGCCTTCACAAATGACTGCTACTACAGCACAGAAAAATTAAAACTAGATCCCAGGGGTTCCCAACCTTGGGTAACCCAGGTAACCCAGGTATGCTTGGACTGCAATTTCCAGAAGCCTTCACTCCAAAAGTGCCTGGCTTATCCAAGGTTAAGAACCAATGCTCTAATCCAAAATGCAACCAGAAATTAAGGACTCCATAAATCAAGGTTTTGTAGATTTTACTGTCAGTTGATTGCTGGGTTACTATACCTCCAAAAACTAAAGCACTGCAATAAACTAAAAGTAGCAAATAAGTTATATTATTGATAAAGCTGAATGATAAAAAGCAAAGCAAGGGAGACTTAGTCTATGCCATTAAATTCTGAAGAGCCGCATAACAAAAAATGCTCACAGAATCCTTTATTTTTACAGCATTCTGTAAAAATATACTTGATATAACTTATCTGCAACAAATGCAGAGGAATCCATTTTCAACAGCTACATGTAGTCCTACAAGCTAGTAAGAAGACCATAATCCTTTACTGTACAAACCCAGGGTTTTTGCTTCTTTCTTAAAACTTTGTTTGTTGACATTCTTGTTGATATAGGATGGACCATTTCAATTATTTTAGCACTGTAAATACACAATACCCATTACAGTATGACCACTGCTCAAAGCTTAAACTCTGAATATAAAACTGTTATCTGAATTAAGCAATACCTGTTCCTGTGGTGGAGACCGAAACTCTTTTGTTTTCTTGGCTGTCAGTGCTGCAGACATATTTAATGCTTGCATGACTTCATTGTAACGGAAACGCTGGTTGTCTTGAAGTTTTGCTACAAAGTCATCTGAAAATGCTACAATGGCTTCTATCCTGTGACGTATCTGACAGTCACAAAGGTACTGGAGTAGATGGCACATCTGAAAAAGGAATTACGAAAGAAAAGTGTTTAAAAGGCAGAAAATCCATCCTAGGGATTTTATTTTTATGGTTCTTAGATATATAAACTAAAAAAAATCTTTTCTCTTGATTGGCAAAATATATGAGAAGGCATATCATTTTTTTTATTCATGCTTTTTTCTTTTGTTTCCAAACTAACACTGATGTGTGTGTTTTCTCAGAAAATCCAAACTCACTCTTTTTTCCTGTCCTTTTCCTAACCGTTTCTTTCGAACTTCAATTGCTTCCTGCACTGAACACTGGAACATTTTATTCTATGCCATTCTCTTCTCTCATCTCAAACCTTTAATTCATTTTGGATTTACATTGTTCACATGATTTTCTTCCCCTCATTGCTGTGATCCTATTTCTTTTCTTTATAAAGAGATTTCTTCCTTTGTTTGGGTTTCATTTATCATTATGTCCCATTCTTATTCTTTCTGTTTATACTGCAGATGTTCTTTTTTTATTTATCTATTTTTTTTCTTTGCCTGGAATGTTCTTCTTTAAAGTGTTTGCCTCAAATATTATTTTTGTTTCTTTTGAATTTTTCTCTCTCCCTCACGCTTAGCAATTAACTACACTTTTTACATGGGAAAAAGTAATCCACATTCATTTGCAAATATGATAAATCTTTATGAATGAAGCTGTTTAAGTCATAGTAAAATAATATAGAAAAACATATCTCTGATAAAATCCAATTCTTTAAAAAATTGTTATGCAAGTGATAAGGTCTATGAAAATGTTGCAATATATGGCAATTTTCTAAATAAGCAAAGGATTTTAGTCAATGTTTTAGTTACTCAAATAAATACACAGTATCACAAAATATTTTATTGTGTTACATTTAGGTAAAGGTAAAGTTTCCCCTTGACAATTAAGTCCGGTAGTGTCCGACTCTAGTGGCCAGTGCTCATCCCCATTTGTAAGCCAAAGAGCCAGCGTTTCTCCATAGACACTTTCTATAGTCACGTGTTGGCTTGACTACAAATGCTGTTACCTTCGACAATTAAGTCCGGTAGTGTCCGACTCTAGTGGCCAGTGCTCATCCCCATTTGTAAGCCAAAGAGCCAGCGTTTGTCCATAGACACTTTCTATAGTCACGTGGCTGGCTTGACTACAAATGCTGTTACCTTTCCACCAGGTACCTGTTCATCTACTTTGCATGCTTTCAAACTGCTAGGCTGGCAGGAGCTGGGACGAGCAATGAGAGCTCACCTCGTTGTGTGGATTCAAACTACTGTCCTTTTGATCAACAGCCAGGTGGCTCAGTGGTTTAACCCACAGCACCATCCATGTCCCCCTTGTGTTATATTTAGAAGTAGAGATGGGTATGAATCGCCATTTTGGTGATTTGCCAGCACCATCCATGTCCCCCTTGTGTTATACAGTATTTAGAAGTAGAGATGGGGATGAATCGCCATTTTGGTGATTCATCCTGCTTCATGATCCATCAAAGTTGACAAATCACAAAGCACCAAACTCCCCCCATGAACACATCAAAGTTGACAAATCACAAAGCACGAAACTCCCCTGAAGCATGAATTTATTCATTGATTCATGGGGGATTAGATATCCAGAACCTGACCCTCCCTGCTCACCACTGCCCCCCGCCCCCAACCGCAATCACCACCACTGCACTGCCACTGCTGTGGCCTCTGCAGCCATGGCCTGCAGCAAGGGACACTGGCTACCCTTTGCAAAGATGGCGGCTGCAGCTTCACTTAGGATAGGAAAGCTGCAGCCTCCATCTTTGCGAAAGGCAGCCTGGATTCCCTTAAGGCAGGCTAAGGGAATCCAGGCTGCCCTTTGCAAAGATGACAGCTGCAGCTTCCTACCCTAAATGAAGCTGCAGCCACCATCTTTGCAAAGGGCAGCCAGTGTCCCTTACTGCAGGCCTTGGCTGTGGAGTCCACCTCAGGGGACAGTGCTGGATCATGGTGGTGCTGGATGGTGGCAGCAGCTAAGGTAGGGAGAGGAAGGGGGCGGGGGATAGGCTGTGGGGGTGAGTGGCTGCCTATCGGCCTGCTGATCGGTGGGCCCATAGGCAGAATGGGAGAGCCACAGGAAGAGAGGAAAGGCTATACGGGACGAATAAAAGTGGGAAAATATTCATCCCTTCATATTTGTCAGGTTCTCTGGAACTGATGAATATGAAGGGATGAATATTTAATGAATCAGCAATTTCTCACAAATATTGTGATCTGTTTTTTTTATTTGTTCCCGTTTAGGAGACGTTCAAGTTGTAGCAGATATGTTGCACCATATTTAATGCTGTCATGTTTTATTAGATTTGTGGAGCAAAAAATACTTTCAAAGGTGTAAAAAGTCACATGAACATCTCTTTCCTTCTCTCCCCACACCGCCATTTCTGTTACAACCTTCATGCAGAGCTGCTTTAATACTATTTTTGGGCTTGTTTTGCTTCATGGTAGCATCCATGTCAGGCAAACATGACACAACAAACATGGGCATCGTGTAGTCAATCAGATTTCACAGTTTCACTGGTGGCAAAAACTCACTGCATTTTCTGAACCAGGATGGAGGAAGGAATTGTTCTCACTGCCTAAACAATAAGGTTAGACACCCTGTTCCTGGCAATTTCATTTCTTGTCTATGTTCTGGAAAACTTTTTGCTTTTACAGCTATGGTAGTCACTAGCAGACTAGTTGCATTATAATGCATGTGGGAAATTACACTCAGATGTCCATCTGCATTCTGCCAGAGTTTATCAGCTATATGTAACTGGGAGCAAATGTCTTGGCAACCTTAGTTCCTTCCTTCTTCCCTTTAAAACCTGCTCTCCTGTAAACAATGACAGTTCCTCTTGTAACCTTATTTCCAAAGACCAGCCTAGGCTTTGAGCCTGTCAGGGAAGGATATTTTCTCAGACACAACCTTCTTTGGCAAGCCTAGTAAGGACATAAGAACCTTCTTTGGCAAGCCTAGTAAGGACATGAGAAGGGTTTTTGTTTGTTTGTTTATGTGGTTTTTTGTTTTTGTTTTTGTGGCTCTTGTTTGTTTGTTTGTTTGTTTGTCTGTTGTTTTTGGTGGCTCGTCCAAGTGGCTCCTGCTCTGTTGACTTTCTACAAGCAGGAAAACACATTTTTATTCAGGTATTTGGTTGCTGTAGAAGGGATTTTTAACAGGGTGGATGCGGTTTTCTTTTCTTTTTTTTTTTATTCTTCAAAACTGTGTTTTAATGTTTCTATATTTTTAAACTCATCTCATATTCTAATTGCTTTTGTTCCATATAAAGGCAAACTGCCATGGTAGGAGTGACAGCAAAACAATATACCAAACGGCAACAAGTCCCACTCTAAAACACAATGGTCCATGATCAATAGATAGCTTTCAATCCACAGGAAGAATGGATTGGCCAGGCATTTTAAACTATCATTCAAAGTACTAAGAAAAGAATCATACAATGAAAAAGAGCCATAAAGACATGGCTATCACTCATGTACCATTCCGTGATTACCTGTAATTTCACAGGCTCAGGAAGTTTCATTTGAAGAAGTCCTTCTTCTGGAACCTTCTGGATTTCATCACTTTCTTCCTCCAAATGTATTCTCTCTGTAACTAATTCTTTCACTGGAACACGAGTCTCATTTTCATGGCCTGCATCCTCCTTAAAAACACTAGGTTCAATCAGCTGCAAGATATGCTTCAGGTCTCCATTATGGAAGATTCCCATTATAAGCAAAGTATAAAAAAGCTTGATCAAAGGAACAAATAAAAACTCTGTTGTACCACCTACTGGGTCTCTGACATGAAGACTCCCCTCCTGGACTGCCTCTGTTAGCATCGCTATAGTTTTAGCCTTCAAAATTTCCAGAGGAAATTCTGGACTATATTGGTAGCATTCATTGTTGATTCTTACAAAACTGGGAGAAGAAAACTGCATTCTGGGCCGCAGGGAAGTGCTTAGTCCAATGCCAGGTAGACCATGTTTTTTGTTTTCATCAGGAAACAAAGTAATGCTTTTAGTTTCTTCTGTCATTGGAACAATAAACTCATTGTTCATCATTAATCTTGCAGTAGCATAGGTATTAAGGTGAATGTCAATGAGGAGGTCATAATAGCCTGCTCGTAACAATCCTGGCATGTATTTGTTCTCAATTGCATACAGAAGCTGAGATTCATCAACATGGCTACACATTGCATGTGCAACCCGATTGTTCCCAAGGGCACAGACAGCTGAATACAATCTGAGAGTATGGTAATGAAATTTCAAGAGTTCTTCTTGTTCTGACAGCTCTAAAATATCTATGGACCTGTAGGAGGGAAGAAAAGAGAAGTGAAAAGTTAAACTAGTTCTACTATTCAGGAAAAATGAACTATTCTTGCCACTGTTGTTATGTGCTGTCAAGTTGCCTTCTTACTATGACTACAGTGGTGCCCCACTTGACGATGACCCCGTTTGATGATGAAATCGCTTTACGATGACTTTTTTGCAATCGCTATAGCAATCGCAAAATGATGTTTCTATGGGTCTTTTTCGCTTAATGTCGATTCAGTCCCTGCTTCGGGAACCGGTTTTTTTGCAAAACGACATTAGAAACAGCTGATCAGCGGTTCGGAAAATGGATCCCTGCTGTTTTCCGGACCGATTGTTCGCAAGACAGGGATCCCAAAATGGCTGTCCTATGGAGGATCTTCACTGGACGATGAGGTATTTCCCCCACTGGAACGCATTGACCAGTTTTCAATGCATTCCAATGGTTTTTTTTCCGCTTGAGAACAATTTTGCTTAACAGTGATTTTCCTGGAACGCATTATTATTGTCAAGCAGGGCACCACTGTATTATGATTATTATTGTTATTTAAATTCACTAGGAGATGACCAAGTCACATAGATGTCGAACCTGTTCAATCATATAGCAATATATTCTGTTTAGAGAAACTATTAGTCCAAGTGGAGCCTACAACAAAATTTTGCAGTGTGCAGTACTTCTCATCATATTTCGAGCTACTCTATTTCACTAACCATTCCCATCAAACACAACAATCAGTATATCCACTGAATATGGTCATTTTCTAAAGGGGTATTCTAGGGTCCTACAGTGGTTTTTACTATTATATTTTTTTACTTTTTTAAAGTGTGGGGTTCCCCTATACTTCTTCAAGTGTTTAACTAGAATAACTAGTATGAAGTAGGCATGTAGAGGTTTTCTGATAGCATATGTGACAGTGTCAGAACATTAGTTTGCTATGAGCCAGAATGTAGAGAGCATCAGGAGGTTTGTCCAAGTGTCCAGATAAGATTTCTGATCATTCTCATTTGGACAACAAACATATGAAAAAGAACCCTTGGAAATGTCTTTGAGCAGTGGCAGAGCAAGCTCTTTTCAGAAGGAGAGCAGTCAGAAGCCCCACAATTCTCTATACTCTCTAAACTGTGGTTAATGGCTGTTCAATATTTATTCTCATGCACCTTTTGTATTGAACAAAATTAGTACTCATCAGTGCACAACAATGCCATGAGAAGGTTTATAACTCACAATAGCGCATGTGTTCTGAACACAAAAAGGTCTTGGCACCTCCAGGTAAAATGGCTGTCAGAAACCCTGAAGAGCCACTGTTAGCCCATGTAGACAATACTAAGTTTGAGAAACTAAAGGTCTTCCTCAAGATAAGGCAATTTCCTATGTTCCCCTTCCATCAAGCAAAAAAGCCCTCAACTAGAAAAGCTTACCTGTATAAATGGAAAAAATGTCAATCTTTTACTACAATTCTTTTCCTTCCTGCCATCAACTTGTCTCTCTCCATGGTTCTCCAATATTTGCTCCATCTCAAATCTTCTGGTCTTTCTCTCTCATCTATTAGAGTCTATCTCTCGACAATCATCTCGTACCAACCACCAACCTCTCCAGCGGCAAAAAACTCACCGTTCTGCAAAAATCCTCCATACGGCCGCCATTTTCGCTGCCCGGTAAGCGAGGAAAGGGTGCGACAACACTGCAGGCAGCCATTTTCTTTACCCGGTGGCCATTTTGGAACTGCTGATCAGCTGTTTAAAAAACATCGTTATGCGATAATCGGTAAGCGAAACGCTTACCGATCATCGCAAAGCGATGTTTTCCCATCTAAAACATTGCAATGCGATCGCTTTTGCGATTGCAAAAAACACATCGCTATGCGGATTCGTCGTTAAATGAATTGCTCGTTATGCGGGGCACCACTGTATTACAATATTTCAGAAGTTTTGGTTTAAAACTTTCCAAATATATTAGTTTAAACAACTATCACATTAAACAGTAAGAACAATATTAAAAATGCAAGTCGAACACAGAATAATATTCTCCCATTAAAAAACCCTTGGTCAACCAGCCATTTAAAGAAAAGAGAAAATAAATAGAATAATAAAAAACACTAAACCTTCCCAGAAATATTATGTCACAGATGTGCATCAAATATACAATAGTATTTCACTCTCATCTGTAAAAGGAGAGAAGTGAGTACTGTACCTGTTTTCCTCTGGGATGTGAAGGGACATAAACTGCAAAGGCTCCAGGCACTGGATTGACCAGCCTTGACGCTCACTGATCCGTGATATATCAACTTTTAGGAAGTGATTTGGCACTCTGCTCCAAAGCACATGTGTCAAAAACTGAACATGGAGACGGGGAGGACACTGGGGAATGGGGTTTTTGTGCTCACTTTTGAATAAGCCAGCTGACAATGGCATCACATTCTGAAGAGAGAGAGCAAAGCAGAGCTGACAGATTAAAGAATTCAGTACTTGAAACAAACATGCCAAAAACATTTACACTACATAGCTGCAATTTGGAGAACTGTGTTGGCTGCGTTAACATGTAGAGCCAACATTCTTTTACAAATTGTAGTTCACATCCCATTATCTTTCTCTTGCAACTGTATAATCTTACTTAGTCAAAATGAAAGGAAGGAAAGGATTAACAGTTTTAAGGTTTGAAAAAGACAGCCTCTATGAATAGAAATCCTGGCATGTTTCTAAAAGGACTCAATGTGTTGGGCTTTATTTCTAGCAATGAGCTTTCCACTGGAGAATAAACAGCAGGCTCCAGAGCGGAGACAACGGAAACAGGAAAATGGGCCAGAATGAAATAATTACCCTATATAACCCACCCCCCATAAGAGCTTTGTACAAAATGTCATCCATTCTCATCTGACACAGATGAGATTGTATTAGATTAGACTAAGCATACACTAATTCTATCATGAAATGGACATTCCATGTCAAGTTGAGTGCTAAGACTTGGCAGGTTACTCACCTGTAACTGTAGTTCTTCAAGTGGACCTCTGTGATTCACACTGTGGGTAATCTGCACCTGTACGGAGCCTCTTCAGAATATTCTAGAGCTTCTGTGGTAGCAAAAAACACATTAGAATAGACCCCTCCCCCTCAGTATAAGTACCTTGGCACGAGAACTCTCCCTTCAGTTGTGTCAACGACCACAAGGAGAAAAATATTGCATGGAGTGACAGAGGGGAGGTCAGGTGCGATGTGTGAATCACAGATGTCCACTGAAAGAAGTACAATTACAGGTGAGTAACCTGCCGTTCTTCTTCGTGGCCTCTGTGAATCACAGTGTGGGTGACTAGAGAGCTGTCTTACCCAGAGGCAGGGTGTCACACCAAGGCAGAAGCCAAAACAGCAATTCCAAATGCCGCATCAGACTTCTGTCAAACATCTAGTCTATAATGTTGGACGAAGGTAGATTGTTTTGCCCACATAGCCAAGGCACAGATGTCAGGGAGAGACACACCACATAGGAATGCTGTAGAGGTCATCAGCGCCCTGGTGGAATGACGGCAAATAGCTTGAGAGACTGGCTGTCAAGCAAGGTGGTATGCAGGCCAAATAGTAGAGGCAACCCAGCAGGAGACTGTCTGGGAGGTGACTTGTTGGTCCTTGTTAGGAAGTTGATGACTGATAAAGAGGCGTGCTGAACATCAAAAGGGTTGTGTTTGTGACAAATAAAAGGATAGGGTCCTCCTGATGTCCAAAGTATGAAGAAGTCATTCATGGGTTGTGGATGGTGATGGAAAGAAAGATGGGAGGACCAGTGGTTGAGAGAGATGAAACTGAGACAATACTTTAGGGAGGGAGGAGACATTGAGGAACAGATTAACTTTATCAGGATAGAATTGTATATAAGTTATTTGTTTAAAAATCCATCCCTGGTCTGTGTGACTTCCTATAGGGAATGGTTGGTGGCAGCTTAGTTAACGTGTGGCAGATCCCAGTAGGTCTGGGTTTGTCACAAGTAGATGGAGAGCTGCTGAGGCTAGCGGTTCAAACGGAGGTTTAGTGAGTTGTTGCAAGACTAAGGTCAAGGACCATTGTCGAGAGGGCAGGTGAATGTCTGGGTAAGCATGTGACAATCCCTTAAGAAAGCGCTGGAACGTGGGATGTCTGAAAATCAAGCCGCTGGAGAGGTTGGTGGTTGGTACGAGATGATTGCTGAGAGATAGACTCTAATAGATGAGAGAGAAAGACCAGAAGATTTGAGATGGAGCAAATATTGGAGAACCGTGGAGAGAGACAGGTTGATGGCAGGAAGGAAAAGAGCTGTAGTAAAAGATTGACATTTTTTCCATTTATACAGGCAAGCTTTTCTAGTTGAGGGCTTCTTTGCTTGATGGAAGGGGAATCCTCTATGCTGCCAGGTGCAGAGCAGGTAAGTCGGGATGAAGGATCGGGAGTTGTTTTGCATGAGGAGGTCTGGTAGGCAGGGGAGGGGATAGACGTTGGACGACAGGTGGTGTAGCACTGAGAACCAGTGAAGACTCTGGGAGCTGTTGCCAGTCCAAAAGGAAGTCTTTTGAATTGGTAGGCTTGGGGCCTGAGTTGGAATCGAAGAAACTGTCTGTGGGAGGGGTGGATGGAGATGTGGAAGTATGTGTCTCATAGATCTGTGACTGTGAACCAGTCATTTTTTCTGAGAAGGGATAGAATGGATTCGAGGGTTACCATACGGAATTTAGTGGTGATGACATATTGATTGAGTTCTCTGAGGTCTAGAATAGGTTGTAAACCTCCATCTTTTTTGGAGACTGTGAAATAACGAGAGACAAAAACTTGTTGTTTTGTTGTATAGGTTCTATTGCATCCTTGATGAGTAATTTTTTTTATCTCTTCTTGTAAAGTTTGGGACAGCGGAGTGACAATGTGGTACAATGGAGGGATTTGATGGAAATCCACTTTGGACAATGGAAAGAACCCAAGTATCAGTGGTGATGGACTGCCAGGTTGATGAGTGTTTACAGAGGAAAGGGGGTTGACTTGCGATCTCGGTCAAGAAAACATCAAACATGATGTTTGGGTTTGTGGTCGTTGTGCCTTTGGATAGGTTGCTGGTGAAGCTTTTGTTTGTATTGTTGTTGTTTAAAGTATGGTGTGTAGAGGTTCTGATGTTGGGATTCATGTTGGAACCTCTGGTAGGAATTGTAAGGTCACCTCCATTGATTGCGTTGGGGGTGCTGTTGATAAGTGGGATAGATGCCCCTTCTTTTGGCAGTGGAGCATTTCTTCTGAATGTTTTCTAAGATGTCATCAGTTTCAGCATGAAAGAGACTGGTGCCATCAAATGGGAGGCCTTCAATACATGCTTGGGCATCTTCCGTGAGGCTGGTTCGTAGCCAGGAGAAATGTCTGAGCATGACAGAGGTAGCCATGGATTTAGCAATGGTGTCTACCATGTGTTTGGCAGATAACATTTGCTGTTTGGCGACACAGAGACCTTCCTATTAGAAGGTTTGTGCTAATACTCTTTTGTCTTCTGGTATCGAGTCAAGAAAAGTGGCCATGTTATCCCAAAGGAAGCGTTGATATGCCCCCATAACTCCTTGGTAGTTAGCTATCTTCATAGTAAAAGCCACCAATGAATAAAACCACATGCCCATAGAGTCAATTCTTTGACTGTCTTTGTTAGGTGGGATAAGGGACTGTCGGTGTTGAGATCGCAATTGTGAGGCCTCAACAAATATCGAATTTGGGGCCGGCTGTTTCTGGAGAAAAAGTGCTCCAGGGTCATGTATCCAATAGAGATTATTGATTCTTTTTGAGACTGAGTGAGAGGAGGCTGGTTTAGTCCAAGATCGCTGAGAAGTGTTAAGAAGAGATGGTAGCATAGTTGTCCTTAGGAACAGGATCATAAAGGTGATCCGCCAGTTTGGTTGTGGGGCGATGGATATGAAGATCCAATGACTTCGCCAAGCGGATCATGAGTTGAGCGTAAGTTTGGAAATCCTCTGCTGGGGACGGAGGATATACACTTGCAAGGTCGGAATCTGGTGATGTGAGAAACACAGATGGAGTTTGCGGTCAAGAACAATGTTCTGAGACCTTAGGATCAAACCTGGAGTCAATAGAAAGTTGGTCGTCCTCGGTGTTGAGAGAATGTTGATCATAGTAATGTTGATGGTGGTCTGCACTGAACAGTGTGGCATGTCCATGGACATTTGTCGACGTCGAGAGTTGTCAACCGATATCAGTGTTCATGGACGGAAGAAAACCAGATGGGATCTCGGTGTCGAAGTCTGTGTCTTGATATTGACGGACTGTGTGTCAAAGTTGGTGCTGTTGTTGAGGGCTAGCAACCGAGAAACATCGAAGTGGGGAGTCCATGGACTGGGATGGATATCGAGGATCATCGATATCGGAACCAGTGTCTCTATGGTGTCAAAAAGGCAGCTAAGACCAATTTGGTGGATGCATAGATAGGTCTGTAGAGTAAATTGAGGCTGAGGATGTTGAGCAAGAGGAGTGATTTCCATCATTTTGAGCTGGAAAATATGTAGTCACAGGGGCTGCAAATGCTTCGCAGGTGGAAGCAAGTTTCTCAACTGCCCTGATTTTCACTGGTGGTTGATGAAAAGTCATATGATGGCTGCGTGCCTCTGAGTGACAAGGCCAACAAAGAAGGTTGTCAAGATGGAGGTTTTTGACACGATATTAATACCGGACCGGAGGAGGCAGCTGGTCAAGCATCCACAGCCAGCAGGTTAGAGAAGCACTGATCAGGGCAAATGTCTCCCCGATGAGCATGCAGTGTGCAGGATTGATCAACATGCACTTATGGGATTGCCTCATACGCTCGATGCACCTAATAGAATGTCGGTGGCCATGGGGGCTGGCCCAATGGCATAGAATATGTCACAGTGTCCGGCTGAGGCCCAGGATCCTCTCTCTCTAGGGAGGCATCAGTGGATGGATTAGGAGGAGAGACAGAATGCTGGGGACTATTAAGCGAGGAAGTAAGACAGTCTACTCACTCTTCCCATGTCGGTGACTGAGAAACCAGTTGATAAGATGGGCGTCCTTCATCATCAGAGGGTGAACCTACAGAAATTAAATTGCCGGGTTCAGAAACCTGCTGCGGAGGTACTGACAGGGTCTTTGATTTGGTTTGTTTAGATCCAGTTGCGGGGGACCAGGAACTGAATCGGGAGACTTTCGCTTTTCGGAAGGCTTCGATGTCAAAGTTTTCAATGTCGGCTGTTTAAATCTGTGCATCTTAGAAGTTATTGATGAAGTGGAAGGCGCATCAGAGTGAGATGGAGTAGTGGAGGAACAATGTTTCGATGATTCTGCAATGGCTTTTTCCATGGCTTTGGCTTGTGAGGTGGTTTTACACGTAGTTTGAGCCATAGGTTTTGCTGGTTGCAAAGACTGTTCCCAGAGGCGCAGTTTGAGTCGAAGTAGGTGAGAACAGAGGACTCATCATTTGAAATTTTCACAATGAGGGCAGCACAAGGAGGTTTGATGCACCTCACCTAAACAAAAAAAGCATTTTGCGTGACCATCCAATAGTGGGACCTTGTTATCACAAATCACGCAGTGCTTGAACAGGCCCAAAGGGGCAATGAACAATAAAGAGAAAAGAAAAATTGAAGTGAGGGGGGGTGCGATGGCTGGAAACCTAGGCACAGAGAAGATAAAAGTAAAAACAGTATATGTATCTTTGAATACTAATAAAGAGAAAAAGATTTTAAAGTTCAGGAGTAAAAAGGACTTGTTTCACTTTGGAAGAAGGAGGAGCAACAAGCAGCGAGAACATGGGAAATTCCAGGGCTCTGGATTCCCCTGGGTTTACTACGAGTCAGAGGACCCCCCCCCCCAGAGGGGGGGG